GGGTGCATGCTGGGCTGGGAAGTGCCCGAACCACTGGGCTGAACTTGCAAAGTGCCCTAACCACTTAGCCCGCTTCTGCCAGCTGCCTGCCTTCCTTCCACCCTCCCCGGCTTCCTGGGGTTGTGTGTGTGGTGAGCCAGTACGGCGCGCTCCTGTGCGGAGCCACCCACCTCACTGTGCCCAACCAAAAACTGTGCTTCGAATGTCTCCCTTGGGGCACCTACATTTGGCCAACCCCGTTCCTGGAGCCCATTCACAAGGCTGGGGTAACTGCTGCCACCACTCGGGCTCTGGTCCTTGTTAGGGCTCTGTGCCATCCGGGATACACAGACCCTGTAGGCCTTGGGGGTGCTTAACCCACCATGGTAGCTTCGGGTGCTTCCTTTAGCCTGGAGTATTCACCAGTAGCCTCCTGTACAGGAGGAAAGTAGAAAAAAGTCTGTGCCCACCTTAGCCAACCAAGCAAAGGGAGCTGTAAGGCTAGTCTCTCCCTCTTAAGCACACCCAGCAAGGACTGCTATAACAGATAGCTTTATTTTTGAAAGAGGGAGAGAGAGGGAGGAAGGAATACACAGCAATGGGATATTGAAAGAAAGCCAACTTGAGCAAAACAGAATGGACTTGTTGGCCTTTTGATGCGTGTCTAGATCACTTAATCCTAAATTACTGGCTAAAATTCAGATAAATTACTCACATGTTCATCTGATAAAACTCTCTGGAGGCTTATTGCTTGTTTCATTGTTCTCTGAAAAATGTCTGACCATCCTCTTCCCAAAATGCCTCTTGCAGCACAAAGGAAGAGTTAGCTCCAGGCCGCCTCAGGAATCTCTCCAGCCTGGGGTCATGTAGGATGCCCAGGTGACCAGGTGGACTTAAGTCATGCAGCTTGAGTAAAGAAGTGGGGGAGGCTGAGGCTGTCCTAAACCAGGACAGAGAGAGAGAGGATTTTTTCACAGTGTGCCAGATGCCTGGGTGCATTGCTGCATGCTGCCTGGCCAGGGCATCACATGTTGCACAGGCTCAGTAACCAGGTCTCTGCTCCAGAGGTAACAGGATTGCACGCTGTGCCAAAAATGCCACCTTCGTGGCTGGAACCGTGCCAGCTGGGTGCTTACAGGGTGACACTTGAGTTTAGGGGCTGTGATGATGTCTCTCTCAACAGATCGCATCCCTGGAGTCTCTGCCCAGGACAAAAGATTCCCAGTGGTTTGTTCATCCTTGTATCCACTTCTACCTTCTCTCCCTCTTTCTTCTCTCAGGAGCTGAGCACTCAGCATCAGGAGACGTACGAAAATCTTAAGTGGAACTATAATTAGGAGTCCCAGCAATAACCCCTGGTGCAGTCTCTGCCAAAAGATGTGTCCTTTTGGGGATTTGTATGAGCTCTGCCCCAGCCCTCAAAAGAAAAATTGTTGCTGAAATCAGTGGTGCGTGTTGCCCCCATTCTGCCATGTCGGGGGGAGGCTGCATCCCTGCTGGGATCCCTGGAAGACAAACATCCCGACCTGGACATCACTCCATTACTCTGCAGCCATTGACTCAGTTTTCCCTGTCACGCGCCTCTTGTGTTTCCAGTGCAGAAGAAACGTAGGTGTACAAAGGACTTCTTCTAGTCCTCTGTGCTTGTCATCAGTGCGTGACAGAGAGTCTGCACTAAGGCAGAGGTGGGCTTCCCTCCAACAGCAACCCTCTGGATGCGTCTACATGAGACACTTAATGCGCAGGAGCCTAATAACACTGCACAGTAGTGTGCCAGGCAAAACCCATGCTAATATGCTACTGTGCAGGAAATGTCACTAAAAACGTCTCTCATTCCTTGGAGTCTGAAAACAGCAGAGACTCCGTGTACCCGAAGAAGGGGGACTGTGCCTGAAAGCTTGCTAAGAACACTTTTTTCCAACTCCTCGGTTGGTCTAATAAAAGAGATCACATCTACCCAAAGAACCTTGCCTGCCTATGTCCTTAGACCAACACGGCTGCAACCCAGAGCCCTCTAAAAACCCATGCGCTGGCTCTACTGTGAAGTAAATCCAGTTACTGTGCATTCAGTGAGTACTTCATTAAGTAAGTACTAAATTAAATGTGCA